CACACACACACACACACAGAAAGAACAGTTTTGCTGAAATATCTAAAAATTTGGCCAGATACAGATCTGAAAATAATTTTGCTGAATCAAAATAATTATATAAAACGTTCACATTAATTGCTAAAATATTTTGCATTATTATTATCGTGCTCAAACATCCAATATATAATAATTTAATAATCCAACAAAATTATTTTACAGAACTGTTTAAATTATTTTACAGATCTGGTCAAATTTTTAGATACCTCAAGGAAATCTTTCTTTCCATGTATTCTCTAGCTGCTCTATTTACATAATATATATATCAAAGCTATTTAAAAATTAAAACATCTTCGTATCCCAGTCTTCCCAATCCAGTCCAACCATTATTAACTATCTATCCAATTTCCTATTCATGAATGACTCCGCTCTCATCAGCGAGAAAGTGTTAATCGCTTTACCCGTCGCATTATATCCTTCCTCCTACCAGCTATTAATTTCGCTCGAACTCAGGGAGATTCGTGGTGAGTCCAGCAGACGGAGAGAACGAAGAGCAGCACTTGCTTTCCAATCGCACCGGCTACGCGACCACGTCCAGTCGTGTGGACACCCCGAACTTGGCTTCGACCACCACCCATACCCCGAGTGGCCCGACAACGCCCAGCGCTGCGTCGGTGCCGAGGATCGCGGAGACGCCACCCACGGTCGAGACCCCCGCCGGAAGCGGTGGAAGCAGCAGCGAGACCAGTCCGTTCCTACCCGAGAGCAATTCCAACGTCAGCCGGGACATTCGTAACACGCCGAGGTGTTCCATACCCGGAGGCGAGCGAGGTTCGATTTTCTGACCGCGGACAATTTTGCGGACAGCAAACATTTATGCGCAATGCTCAAATCACTGTTGACATATTGACTGCCGCGGAGATCTTCCGTGACTGACGCTACTGGAATTTTTTTTAAAATGTTTGCAAAAGATAAATCCAATATAATTATCTAATATAAAATTTGGAATAAGATAAAGAGTGATGATAAAGTAAAAAGTGCGTTATTCGATAATCAAAAATTTATCTTTCTTTCTTAATCATATTATTTAATTTTTTATTATTTTATGTTTAAAAATTTGGAAGACGTGTAGAACGTACTGGGGGCAGACAACATGTTAATAACTGTTACAAAAGCATCAAGAATCGCGTCAGACTTTTAGAGAACAAATGAGTTGCATTGACGAGAGTTTTTCAGTAGGAAGACGTTCGAGGGAGTGGTTGAGCAACGAACCGGAAGCGTCCGGTACCAACGATCAGTATAGTCATCATCTGACCATAGGACCGCACGGCGGCGTTGATTGGGTACGTCGGTTAGGTCTGGAGCCTGGTGGACGAAAATCGAGCGATTCCGAAATTAGCGGAGCCGGTGCCGTGAGCGGACGGGAGGAGGATTTGACATTGCACAGGTCCACCGACTGCATCGTCTCCAAAGAACTCGCGTCCTCTTCAGATAGCGATCTTCTCAGGTAGATGGAAAGAAGTCTCGTTTTTCTTTGATAAAATACACCCCCTGATCGAATCTTTCTTCTAGTTTTCCTCTTTATTCTTATCTATATTCAAAAATGTTTTGAACTCCAATTTTTATGGAGAAAATTTTATTTTAGATAATTATAAACATATTATCTTAGACCACAAATGTAAAAAAATTATTCTTATGTGTCCTTTAATGTTTTGTTTAATAATTTTTCTTTGATAAAATATATCGTCCGATCAAATCTTTCTTTTGGAAATTTTCTTCTTTATTCCTATCATATATTTTAATTTCAAAAATGTCGAACTCCAATTTTTATAGAATTAATTTTTATTTTAGATAATTATAAACAGATTATTTATAAAAAAAGTTCTTTTTATAGTCTTTTTATATGCCGTTTTCTCCGGAAAGGATAAAATATATCCGTTGATCAAATCTTTCTTCTAGCTTGGAATCTTCTTCATTTTTATCATGTGCTTTAATTTCAAGAATATTTTGAACTTCAATTTTTATTTTAGAATATTTTAAACTTCAGTTTTTATCTTAATTATAAACAGATTATCTCGGATTATCACAAATATAAAAAAACTCTATTTACGCATCTTTTAACATTTTGTTTGATAAGTTTTATATTTTGGTACTAACACGTTAGTTTCCTACTTAAAGATCGGCGCCGCCGTGGGCGATGGCTCACAGGAACCAGAAATTCCGTTTTTCTCCCGAAAAGGAGAAGGAGCGCGAGAAGACGGAGAAGCAGCAGTACCAGCATCATCATCGGGAAACCCGAGAACTCCGAGAACCGCGAGAAACCCGAGAAACCCGAGAAACGCGGGAAACACGGGAAACGCGGGAGGCACACGATCATCGCGAACGGCAGTCCTATGTCGCCGAAAAGGAGAAGGACTCGAGCGGACTGTCGGACTCCAGCAAGACCATCTCGAGTCAGGAGGAGGAAAAGCCGACGAAGGAGGATCGGGAGGCGAAGAAGACCCGCGTGAAGCAGAGCCTGATGAAACGAGCACGCTCGGTGGCGATCTTCTCGCTGAAGCTGAAGGAACGCCGCGCACGGGAGGCCGAGCTCAAGGCCAAGGAGGCGGAAAGGGAGGCCAGGTGGCAGCAGCCGCAGTCGTGCGTCGGCGGCGAGCTCTCGTGCATCCCCATAGAAAAGCTTATCTCCGTGGACGACATCGCGGCCATGGAAATGCGCCGGACGAATCATTAGCCGCTTAACGAAAATTGTCCTTCTCACACTTTTGTTTCCTCGCTACGTAGAGAGCCGTTCGCGTACCGCGACACGCGCGTTGCGCGCCCGACGGACGGTGAGAGATCGCACCCTCTTCGATCGCGCGGAGTCGCGACGGAGGGATGATAAATCCCGGGCGGCCTCCCTCCACCCTTCCACCATCCCACTTTTCCCCCGCGTGCAGGTACGCGGTAACCGGACGAGAGAAAAGGCGCACAACTCTTACGAATCATCGCAGGCACAAGGATACCGTAGATAACATTCCGTAGACACTACCCCCTCCCTACTGTCCCGATGCCTAGACACAGGGCATCGAACCGCGGTCCCCGGCTCGATTCGGTTCGGTTCCGGAACGAAGCGAACACGCGTAGCGTACGTTCGAAGGATTTAGAGTAACACCAGATATTCCGTGATGAGGATTGAAAATCTTTAAACATGCGGTATCACGAATGAAGCGTAAAACTTTTTTGAAACGGAAATATTAATAAGATCTTCACCAATTTGCGACGAAATGATCTCTCAGAGATCTCGCAGAGTATTGATCTCTTCTACGGGTAGAGAAGCAAAAGGACGCAAATTTTGCTAATTTCAGAAAACTGAAGTGATAATTTTACAAGCGAGAAAGTCGTACTAATTTTTTTAATAAAAACGTGAAAGTACATGTTGTATGAACGCTAATTTTAAGAATCTCTTAAGCTCCAGTTTTTACGTGGTTTTTTATTTTACATAATTATAAATAGATTATTTCGGAACACGTGCGCACTGTGATGGCTGACATTAATCCACCTGTAAATCTTTGTATTATAAATCTTTTCTTGAACGCGCTGTTCCGAAACCGAACGCATCAATTCCGATAATTCTAATGTCCCGTCGATTCGATGCTCTGCTAAATGGCACGTTCTTAGGCTTAGGTCGTTCAACCGATCGTAGACAGGTGAGCTCCGAACGTTCACGTTCGTGCCGAGTCCAGTATTCCACGCCGAAATTGGATCATCCTCGGTTGCTTCGCAACGCGCGTGTAACGAAATTCCCGACGGCGCGGTCGCACGCGACGATCCGATTCGATCCGATCCGTCGCGGGAAAGACGAGAAGCCGGGAAACCCCGGCTGGAATAGTCACGAGGCGTTTCCCTCCCCTTAGAGAAAATTGTTAAGTATCCGGGGTATATTGCGCCCTCGCGCTGTTTAGCTCAGCGAGTCTAACCGCGAATCGGCGCGAAACTCAACGAAAAACCTGGTGGAGGAAACCTTGTTGTTGTTGCGGTAATAAATTGTTAATTAATCTATAAAAATTTAGGCATTAATGGATTAAACGAACTTTTGCTAAATAGATCTCTACGAAGGCATATCACATTGTCGAGACCATCCGCGTCGTCACCGCGCCGCCTCTCAAGTTTCGTGTCCCCGTTCCCAAAGTCGGATGCGTGGATGCAGGATCGAGTTCGCGGTGATGAGAGATCAGAGAGGTCAGAGATAGAGCGCATGGCCCCACGCACGCGCGAAGCTCTTCGTCCAGGAACAGAAGGATCTAGTGGTCATTTTTGTATATAGCGAAAAATGTTATGCAGAAAATTGTAAAATCGGTTTCCATGGCCTAGCCTCATGTCCCCGTCCGCGGCTGAACTTTAGCGCAGAGTATTGTTGAGTATTACACACGACAAACACGCGAACACAGACGTACAGACGTACAGATACACGTACATACAAAAGAAACATAAACATATACAGATACATATACATTGACATTTTATTACATTTACCGATATTGTTAGCTTAGTATTTATTAACCATTAGATGCATCCACATTGAGCACTGTTGAGCAAACCGATAATCGCGTTGTACGTAGCGTATCCTTCGGGAATTTGCGAGACACAAGTGCATTTTAGATGCAAAATTGATAGATTAGCCGCTTTTCGTAAGGGCAGGTCGAAATAAATTCAGCCGGAAGCATCTGTGTTTGTTAGATGTTTTGTATAAAACAAGGGAATTGAGCCAATAAAAATATTCTACAAAATACGGATCTTCTTTCTCTTTACGATCTTCTTTCTCTTTGTTCCCGTGTTTCCCTTGTGTTTTTAGAAACTGATCAATTTGTAGAGGCCCTCCACCACCCCCGCCGATTTTAATCGGCGGTCCTCTTTTCTTTATACGTATATTTTAAATGTTCTTACATTTTTTATTTTGTATACGATTATAATTTAATATTAAAAAAATATAATGAATTAAATACATAGAAATATATAATCAAATAAAATATATTCTATATAAATTTTATATTATAACAAAATAAAATTGAATAAAAGTTTAAAAAAAAATCATCAAGTATCATAATATAATACAATAATAAAATTCGCATTGTTTGGTACAATAAAAATTGTTATTATTTAGTCGGAATATTTATAAATAAATAAAATTTAAATTTGCGAGGCCCTCCACCACCCCCGCCAATTTTGATCAGCGGTCCTCTTTGCACGTATATTTTAAATTATTTAATATTTATATACAAATAAATTTGTAGTATCAAACAATACAATACAAAGTTAAAAATATGAATATATAACCAAATATATATATATATAACCATAAGATACAATAATAAAAAT